ACATATATAATAAATAGCATATAACAACCAACTTATTTGCTTTTCATATTTTCATTACCAAGTAATGAACTTTCATTACCAACATACCAAAGTACTAAAATAAATCTGGTTCGTTTTGAGATTTATAACTATTTAAAAAACAACCTTATGAATTTAAAATCAAAAGTAAGTATTTTTAAAGTTGGGGTTTTTTTATTTTTCCTACAGGAAAAGAGTATTTTTGACAAGATAACAGTTGTTTAAGGTAACTTAATAAGAGAATGTAAACCTGGGTTGGGAAGAGTTGTTGACAAATAAATGTTTCTAGAAAAGACAAATGGTCAGTGAAATGAGCATAGGCATGCCTGTAAGTGACAAAATATTGAAATTCTAAACATTGACAATATCCCATTATATTAGTTTCCTATTGCTGCTATAACAAACCACTATAAAATTGTGGCTTAAAACAACACTATTATCTTAAAATTTTATATGTTAGAAGTCTAGCAAACATACCACTTGACTAAACATGTTAGCTGGGTGCCTTTTTCTTTTTTTCCCCGAGGTACGAGGAAAAACTCATTTCCTTGCCTTTTTTCTTTTCCCATATCTAGAGACCACATCTATTTCTTTGTTTGTGACCCTTTCTCCTCTTCAAAGACCACTAGGGTGAGTTGAGAGCTTCTTGCAATCTTTGGTTCTGACCCACTGTTCTGCCCCTTAAGATGTCATGTGATTTATCACCCAGCCAGATAATTTAGGATGATCTCTCTATTTTAAGATTAGCAAAATCAATTCCAACTGCAACCTTAATTTCCTTTTGCCATGTAATACAGTGTATATCCACTCTAAGCTTAGGAAGTGGAGATTTTTGGGAACCATTCTATTCTGCCCAGTGAATGAGATCCAGATCCATCACAGAGGGACCATTCTTCCTGGGTAAAAGTTTGTGCATCTGGAGGCATCTCTCTTAGTTACTAAAGTCTCTTAAAAAACAGTTATATTTGCTCCCACCTAAGTTAGGAAGCAGGAATATTTTTAACTTGGAATAGGATTTTTTTTAAAAAAATCACTAAAAATTAAATTTTTTTTCATTTATATTTTTACAAGATTTTTGGATAAATAGTTCTGTACACCCAAGGGCCACCTAGATTTTATAATAATGTCAGTGCTTACATTAGGATCCAGAGTATGCACTTTTATTTGGTGCCCATATTTCTATGTGTTGATTGGTGTGCCCTGTTTTTGTTAAATAGGGGCATTCCATGATACTTTTTAGTGAGGGTAGCAAACATCATCAACAGGAAAATAGAGGTATATCTCAGTCTGACATGCATTAAAATTTCTTCTCTTTCTCACTTGTATTTATAGTCTGATAGAGGATCAACAGTGTGACAATTTAGTATTGCTGCAGAGAGACATTTTTAAACCATTAAATTTCAAGATAATGTGCACACACGGCATTCAACAGCGTCAGCTGACTGTGAACGCAGACCTGCTATCACTACTGTCACTTTGTTCCCATTTTGCTCTATTGTGGATTGTACCAGTTTCATGTTTCTTGTACCATCACTGGTTTCAGTCCCTCAGGGTTCATATTGTCCCGATGTGAGAAATAAAACTAAACAAAATATTACTAAGGATGACAGATATTGTGTCCGTTATTTTTATGGATTTTTTTTAGTGTCTAAAAATCTTCAGCTCATTTTAGAAATTACATTAGGTGCTCCTGTGGGCTGCAAGTTACTCCCAAACAGAGGATGTTTTGTTAGGAGGGATCGAGCAGCAGGTGGGTCTTGGAGGGCAGAACATGTGTGCATTTGTTGTCCTTGCAACAACACACGTGTAGTAGAGCCCAGCATAAAACGTGGGCAGACTGTGACAACATGGGAGCTCTCACTCTCCAGCACACGAACAAGATGTAAACTGAGTGCAGAATAGGGAAGACAGGGCTCACAAGGCAATTTTTCCTGGTAGGAAAGATAGCTAAGGGAAGTAAGGTAGGTACCCAAGCAGATATGTAATGAAGGAGAGTAATAATTAAGTGCCTTTCAGGATTGTCCCAAAGGCTTTTCCACCATGGCTGTTACATGAGTAATGTTACATTCAAAGCTACAAGAAAAAAAAAAGGGACGAAGGAAGGAAGGAAGGAAGGAAGGAAAGAAGGAGGGAGAGGAGGAAGGAAGGAGGGAGGGAAGGAAGGAAGGAGGGAAAGAAGGAAAGAAGGAAAGAAGGAAAAAGTTAAGTCTCATTATTATTGAGAAAAATTCAAAGATAAAATTTCTACATACATGAAATAGTTAGGAGTTTTCAGTTTCCAGGGTCCTTGTCTTTTGCCAATTAGAA